CACTGGGCTTAGGCATAATATGTTTAATCTACTTAAAACTAATAAACTAAATAGAAGTAATCTAACAAAAAGTAAATGAAATGCAAATTATAGTAAATATAAAAAATATAAAATATAATAATATAATACACATAAATATTGATATTTTAATTCATCCCATCCACACCATTTAGCAGAAGGGATTTTAAAATAAATTCTTAACTATAATATCTATATGAAGGTGACAATTGTGATCCTTGTTTGCAGGTAGCACGGTCCTCTAGGGCAAAAACATGCACAGTCCTTGTAATTGCATATACTCAGGCACTTTATTTGTAAGTTCACACAGGATACAGCAATAAATGAAAACAAATGTAACACAAAACCCTATAAACAAAAACCTAGCTCGTCTGAGCACTAACTGACATTAGGTTCCCTATCTCTCAGGGTTAAACTAAACAAAACAATATTGCACCAAACTTATTAGAGAGCAACACTCTGCTAGCTAGCCTGTTGCTTTCCTTTCTGCACTCCCAGTGCTCCAAGCCAGCCTTGCCCTGACTGCTTTGCTTTCTGCACTCCCAGTGCTCCAAGCCAGCCTTGCCCTGACTGCTTCCTTTCTGCACTCCCAGTGCTCCAAGCCAGCCTTGCCCTGACTGCTTTGCTTTCTGCACTCCCAGTGCTCCAAGCCAGCCTTGCCCTGACTGCTTCCTTTCTGCACTCCCAGTGCTCCAAGCCAGCCTTGCCCTGACTGCTTTGCTTTCTGCACTCCCAGTGCTCCAAGCCAGGCTTGCCCTGACTGCTTTCCTTTCTGCACTCCCAGTGCTCCAAGCCAGCCTTGCCCTGACTCTATCTGTAGAGAACAGCCTCTCTCTCCTACCTGCTTCCTGGGAGGAAGCCAGCAATCCCTCTCCTTTTCCTGCCTAGCCGGGAGGGGTTTATTCCCACTGCAATAGCTCATTAACTGCAGCTGAGCAGTGGGTTGGAGATGATCCAAAAAACCCTGGCCTGGATCTATGTCTCCCCAGAAAACCACTAAACTGTGGAGTGGAGCATTGGCCCACCCTTCTCTCCAAATGCTCCACCCTTCTCTCCAAATGCTCCACCCCAGGGGCCCATAACTAAACAGTGTTTTGTGTTGCCTACAACACATCCTACACATACTCCCCCTGGGGTTAAAAGGCCTATCTGCCTTCACTTTATCACACAATGTAATCTAAACGATTTGTAGATAAAAGAGTAGCATTGTTTTAAACTAATTAAATGATTAAAGCTAATACAGACAGGAGGCATATTTGCTTAACCTTCCTTTACTGAAACCTCCCAGCAGCAAACAAAGAGTTAAGTTTCAAAAACAACCAACCAATAAAATAACAGTACAGTGCAATAAAACCATAACAGGCCCCTCCTATATCCTCTTTCTTTGCTTCTGCTGGTGAGTCTGCTCCAATCTTAGGCCCTAGGCCTTTGTTTTCTACTTTGTGTATTCAACTAAGTTATATTTACTGTATTTTTATCTTTTGTTCTTGGTATATTTCTGTCATTATTTTGACTCCTTTAGTTCTTTTCCTTATTGTCTATGCTATATATATATATATATATATATTACCCTTTTTAATTCTATACTGTTCTTCCAGCTTTTTTTCTCCCGTCTATATTTTACCAACAGAGGTACTGCGGTGGGGTCTTTCCATCCTGCCGTTTATCTACTCCATTCGAGCGCTATTCGGTGTCCAATCTGTTCTCCTGTCCTGTCATATTTGTGGTTTGAGTGCCATTCAGCGCCCAAACTGCCTTTTTTCCTTAGGTTTCATATTCGCAATCCGAGTGCTATTTGGTGCCCGAACGACTTTATCTATATGTGTGTTGTTCGTAGTTTGAACACCGTTCGACACAAAAACACTTTCTACTCACATTAGGGTTTTGCTTCTGTGGCACTTTCACGGTAGCCATCTTCCTTGTGAATCTCTCTGCGATCTCTACCTTTTTCCTGCGCCATCGCCTCTTCAGGGCCCGCATTGTGCTTCCTGCAGCCGCGCTCTCTCCAATTCTTTACTGAGGAATCCTTTTATTGATTCTCAACAACTTGCACAGATCTAGGTGAGGACTTTATATTATCTTTCACTTATTGCTCTTGATTATTTTTTATTGCATTTTACAAATATTACTGATACTGATTATTGGAGTGCTTTAAAAACCTCCTATTAATTATATTATCAGAGGCGAACCCCAGGCATTACAGTCTGTTTATTTCTTATATACCGATTATATTATGTATATTGAGATCAGGCTGAGGTCTACAAACCTATATCCCTAGCTCTATGAGAGATATTACTGATATCACTGTGGCTCTATTTCACTTAGCCTACTGTATATATATATATATATTTGGGTCTAATGCACCTATTTGGGGGCTGACTTGGGTGTGAACCACCCTCCTCCCACTTCTAACAGTTTTATCCTTGCCTAGGGTCATGTTTGGTGTAACCCCCCTGTTTTCTTGCTCAACATTTTACAGTTTGATTGCTTAGAGGAGTAACATTCCATACCCCAATAAAAAATTCCAACATTTTGTCCCTTAGGCTTACCTTATTAAGACATGGCTGAGAACAACAGCGTCATACCAGAGAGTTTCAAGCAATTGCTCTGGTCCGTTCTGGGTGATTGGCCAAAAACCCCTTATATATCTAGCGGTGACAATACACCCTCTGAATGTGAGAACTCCGCTCCTCCATGGGAAAGGTCTTTTTAAGTTGACCGTTCTCATGCAGGCAAGGACAAAATGCTTTGCTCCTCTTCTCCCCATTTGGAAAAGGACCTTCATGCCGGTTCCCAGACCTTCAGGACTTGACAGACTACAATCTACTCTACACCTATTATGCTGGGGAATCTGACAAGGATCACACTCTCTGCACCCCTCGCGCTGAAGACACTGATTCTCCCTTTATCAGGGAATCCTTCATGGAGAAGGCCCCACCATCACCTAAGGTCCTGAAAGCCCATCCACGGGCAGGCCCCTTTTTGACCCAAGATGTATCCAACATCCTTGTTCCGCTGAATGGGCATTCCCTCCATACAGCCAAATTTCCGAGATACTGGCTTTGCCATCCTGTGGACTAAAAAGTCTGCAACAAGTTAAGGGCCAAATATCCGCATCCCACCATTCCTCAGAAGGTCATGTGCACCCCGTAATGCTGCTGACCTTCATGTACAAAGCTGGCCAGGATTTATGCAAGGGTATGGAACAAGGTCTCAAGTCAGCTTGAGACTCCTGGTCATGTCCAGGCCCATGACACAGATATTCTTGCTTGCAGACAAAGCACTCTCTGCTGGCATTGAACTGGATCCCTTTTATACTCCGTGAATGGGCTCATAGAGCCATTTGCCTACTGGGGAATGCCAATATGGCCATATCAGTGGAACGCATAAAGCCGTCTCTTACAGATTGGACGCTAAACTGGCAGACCTCAGTGCCAAAGAATTGGATGCTGGTGGCCTTCTTTTCGAAGTTAAATTCATAAAAGAGCTCAACCATCATGTGGCAGTTTATACTTCTGTCAATGTGGCTCAAATCTATTTGAAAGGGGTGTTTCATTCAAACAGTTTCTCCCCCAGGGCTGGCCAGCAGAGAGGTCTTGCCGCCTGTGCCATTTTTTCCCGCAGTGGCAGGAGGTCACCTCAGACACATGAATGGTTTGCTCATAGATTTTGTCAGCCCTCCGGTTCAGAACAATTTACCATCACAGATTTTCATGTCCATAGAGGACCACATGCTCATTCACAAGGAGCTTCTGTCTCTATGGAAAAAAGGTGCCATTGGCACAGTTTCGGGTTTTGTAAGCAGTATTTTTCTTGTTCGGCCTCCGCTTTCCTTCGTGAATGGGGTGGTTTTTTGTGTACTTGGACGACCTCCTCTAGTTGGCTCGGGACTGCATCACTCTACGCTGACAGACCTCCTCAGTGGTGGACCTGTTGCAGAATCTTGGCCTCATTATCAATGTAGAGAAGTCAGAAATGTACAGGAGATATAGTTTCTGGGCTTTACCAATGATTTAGATCAGATGATTTTGGAGCTTCCTCCAGGATTACAACCATCCAAAAAAAGATTGACAAACTCTTTCGAAGAGATTGGGTTTGCCTACAGGATCTCTCCATGATGATCAGTCTTTTCGCCGCATACATTCAGGTGATGTTCTGGGCCCTCTCCATTACCAGGCTATGCAGTGGTTGAAGAGGGCACACCTATACTGGTCGACTTTGTACGGACAGACACTGCTGCTCACAGACAAAGTGCGCTCAGAACTATTCTGGTAGCTGCACAACATGGAGTCCTGAAACAAGCGAGCGATTTTCGGTTCTCAACCAGACTGTGTCCTGAATCTAGACGCCAGTTTTCTTGGGTGGGGCGCTGCCTGTCTGGGCTCCTGTACATGTGGAGGGATCCTTCCACATCAATTATCTGGAGCTGTTAACAGACTCCTTCGCCATCCTCAGTTTTTCTTGCAAATTATGCAACTGTTCTCTTGAAATTTATCCGCGGTTCACTACATCAACTGCTTAGGAGTAGTGATGTCCCGAACGGTTCGCCGTGAACGGTTCGCCACGGACTCATCATTGAATAAACTTTGACCCTGTACCTCACAGTCAGCAGACACATTCCAGCCAATCAGCAGCAGACCCTCCCTCCCAGACCCTCCCACCTCCTAGTGGCAGTTCTCAATTTCCACTTGTCACCTTACTCCCAGGGTAAATCTTACCGCACTATCAACCTCATTTGCTCAGCGATCTCTGCAGCTCACATTTCTTTCCATGGGGTCCCGATTGGCAAGGACCCTTCTGTCTGCCGCCTCCTGCGTGGAATGCATCACTATAAACCTTCGTCCTCCTGGTATTCCTGTTTCTGAGATGTCTTCCTGGTGTTTTACTCTTGGCCCAGCCTGATAACAACCTCATATAACTTTGCCAACTCTCTGCGAAACTTGCTTTTCTTCTTCTGTTGTGTAGTTTCATTCCGCTTGTGTCAGACATTCAGGCTGTCAATTCCCACTTGATTAGCTTCTCCACAGAATGGGGTTTCCTTTTCGGTGCTTCGGCACACCTAGTCTCTCTCCACTTTGCTCTTATCTCTTATGTTCCTCCTCATTGACCTGTCTCGTCGACTACGGTAGCTAGTTGGATCAGTTTGCTTTTGCCATCGGTGGTTGTTGAAGCTTCCTTCGAGGCCCATTCGGTACTTAGGGCTGCCTCTTCGTTGGCTTTCTCTTTGGATGGCTCCATTTTGGATATACAGTTGGCGGTGGATTGTTAGTGGGAATCCACGTTCCAGACCTCCTACTTTCGTCCTCGTCATCACGTGGCACCACCTTTTGTATATCTTGTATTGTCTGGTATTAAAATTGGGAATACCCTAGCCTTGGTGAAGGTATAGTCTAAATTTTAATAAAGACAGAAGGTGATATATATTTGTGCCACTCGTGTCTCTTTTTCTCTCTGCCTCCCCCTTTTCTCTTTTGGTTTGCCCTGGAGGCTGTCTGTCTTAATCTCTTGCCTGTGTTGTTTTCATTTAATGAAGAACATGTGTTTGTTTTTTAAACTTGTAATATTTACAAAAGAATTCTTAATACATGTTGGTCAATACTAGGCAGCAGGTCAGTTCACAGATTAGATAAATTGAACAAATGCTTGAGCAAATAGCAGCTGCATGATCTATACACAAAAACTGCTTCACTGAGCTAAAGTTGTGTTGGTGACTATAGTGTCCCTTTAATGACAGCTAATTTCACAGTTTGATGTAGACACGATAACCTGTGTAACAGAACAAGCTTCAGCTTGTGCTGAAAAGCTATGAAGGAGCCAGTTCAGGCAGTGTAGAGTGCACACTCGCTATCTTACTAAAATAGCTAGTGCAGAACTGTTTTAATAATTTATATTATTACTATATTAACTAATGAAAAGTTAACAGATAAAAATAAAGTCAGAGTGTGTTAGGTATATTTTCTAAAACAACAGTAATCTATTATTTATTCACAAGATCATGAAAAAATTATGCATTCTAAAATCAAACATAATATAACACAAATTTCAAAATGTATAAAAAAGATTTTAATTATCAATAAAAATAGTAATGCATTTAAACTTTCAATCTGTGTTGTCAATTCATTATATTTTGTCTTATAATTAAATGCATACTTTCTACACACTACACTTGCACAGAGTCAAGGGCTTTGGGTCAGGTCATTATCGATGTTTAGAATACCGGAACTGCATTCATTGCTATGGGAAGTTCAGAATTAGTTTTCAATCATTTCTATTAAAATAGTGTTGGATCTGCATAAGGAACTAAAAGATAGAACGCAAAACACAACAACAAAACAAAGTGATTGCAAAGCACCCAACACAATTTTAGCTTCTTGCTAAAGTTGGAAATGTAATTCTATAATCCTTTCATGATACCTAGGTTATGGCACCACCACTTGGGATGGCTTTGTTGAGTGCCCGCTAAAAGTGCTGTTAAAAAAAATGGTCTCACCACGATGATTTGGTATTGAGGTATAAGAAAAATAGCATTTTGGAGATCCACCAAAGCAAGCGACCAGTAATGAAATGGTTGTAGCGGAGAGGTAGTATAATCCACAGTACATCCGCTGGTAGACAGGAAAAGCATACAATAATCCAGGGAGGCAGGTACAGCATACAATAATCCCGGTAGTGTTATAAAGATCCTTCCCTCCCAAGAACTAGACGACACATAGGCTGGGAGTCAACTGACGTTTTTATTCACATGCTCCAGTATTTATGTGGTTCCCCATGCAAGGTGTCTCCTTAATTACTTTACAGGGGTTATACAGTAGGGGACTACATGGGGAACTGAACATGCAGGACCTTTTCCCCACCATGCACTGCTGTACGGGAGGGATACTCCCACAGAATATCCTGTTAAGTGGATTATCCCTCCGTACAGCAAAACCGGGCATTTTACTTAAAAATATATAACTTGCATGTTATTCGTGCCATTTAGTCGAATAACCTCTTTATAGGCTGGGAGTCAACATAGGCTGGGAGTCAACTGAGGTTTTTATTCACATGCTCCAGTATTTATGTGGTTCCCTATGCAAGGGGTCTCATTAATTACTTTACAGGGGTTATACAGTAGGGGACTACATGGGGAACTGAACATGCAAGACCTTTTTCCCACCATGCACTGCTGTACGGGAGGGATACTCCCACAGAATATCCTGTTAAGTGGATTATCCCTCCGTACAGCAAAACCGGGCATTTTACTTAAAAATATATAACTTGCACGTTATTCTTGCCATTTAGTCGAATGACCTCTGTATAGATAGCTGGGAATTTGAGCGCATAGTTTGTGAAACTACCGCTCAGATCCCAGCACAATTAGCCGAATGCCACACGAAACAATGCTTAATATACACATACCAGAAAACAGACGAATGGACGATTTGTAGGAAACTACCGAATGACCAGTAGTCCCGAACGGCCTGGAAGTCCAGCAGTGTTCGTGCCGTTGAGTAGCCGATTTTAGTTCCAGGACCACGACGACCAAACACCGCTGGGCTAACAAAGGATCCAAGATGGCTGCCGAGGCGTGGTCGGTATCCGAACGGCAGCCACCCTGAAAACCTATTAACCGAGGGTAGATTCAATGTTGCAATCCGTAATGGTCCTGTGTGTGGTCTTCCATTCGGTACTTTGTTCGTTTCACGAACAGTGTTGAAAGTCACTGTTCGTGAAACTATCATAGGAATGCTAGTGGCTTTCGTGCCACTAGCATACGAATGCTCTCTATACACATTTAACCGAACAAGCATACAATAACTATAGATAACCCATCTCTCCCGGGCCACCCTATACATACAGTAGTCTTAAAGTGGCTATGTTTGCCACAATGGTCAAATTAAAAGATTAAAAATTCTCCATATTAAACAGCCAAAGCTTTCTTATTTTACAAATGGTTAAAAAAAAAGGTTTAAAAAATGATGGTGGTAAATTGCGGACAAGGGCTACTATATTATCCCATAAGTGACACTGGTTTAATAAACAAGTGAAAACTGGAATCTGTAAGCAAAAACGGGCATGTGATTTGACCCTTCAACTTTTCACAAATCTGGTCTACATGGGACGTATTGCTATAATTAGGATGCAAATCTGGTATCTTGGAACACAGTCTGTGAAATTCCTTATAAATATGAAATGTGTTTGAAAAAAAAAGGCAATTAAATATAACCAGGTAAGTGTGCATGTGTAAATTGTTTAACAGCTTATCCTAGGACAGCGCCAGGGGACTCCTGGCATCATAATAATTGTGGTGCAAACTAGAAAAAAAATAAAAAATCAGAAAACATTTAATTTCAAAGATTAAAAAAACCTTTGATATCATTTACAATAAAAATACTTCTGAAGCCTCCAATGGTACACAGAAGCAAACATAATGGATACATCTAGCCCAATTTTAATGGAAAGGCTACATGCGGAGGGGTGATGCAATGTAAGCTCTTCTAACTCGTACCTTAGAGTTCGTCCACTTGCGTTCCAAAAAGCAGAAGTTACATGTTACATAAAATCATTTTAGACTCGTTATCTCTATAGAGATATAAAACCGTGACATATCTTGATTGTAAGAGCATCTGGACCCTATACGCTGATTGCATATACGATATAAACTTGTTTCAGTAATTATGACACGATGTAATGAAACTTGATGTTTAACCCGCACAATCTTCTCTAATTTTGTAACCATAGACTGTCATGTATGTCATGCATAAATAAAGAATAATAAAAAAAAAAGAGACCTAGTCCAACAACAAAAATTAGATCTATTAGATCCGTGTGGCTCCTCCATAATTGACGGTGGGTTCTGCAGAAAAATGTTACGTTAGAAGGACCAAAGCCATAAATTGTGTAGGCTTTGACACGCTCCGGCCAATGAGGTGGGGAGTGGCCTCCTCTTGCCCTGTGCTTCGCATGCCCATGATCATTGGCAAAATCCACAATTACAATTTACAAAAGTACAATTTTTCTTTTGACACTAAAGAACATCATATGAACAGCATGTGTACAAACAGCAGTGAGAGTAACAGTAGTAGTAGCTTCTTGGGACACCACAGAAAATTCCACATAACGTGCAGTGTGCGCATAGTATTAAACACACCCACCTTTATCAAGACTGTTCCGTCCATGCAAGGGCAATTTAGCAGTGATCTGCATATTACTGGCACATACGCAAACCAGCCCCAACTCCCAATCTTAAAGTATTGGTATAACATTACTGGGGAAGCAACAAAATTGGTAGCAGCAGGTAAAGAAATGGATACTTTAAGCATCTGTACAAATTGCAAAGGGTTAAAGGGTACCCACTTATTTGAGGTGCAAAATATGGGTTAGGTCACAGTTATAATGTTATTTAGTTAAAAAATAATTGGTTTGCCCCATAAGCCCAGTGTTTCCATCCCTCCAAAACTGCAGTGTTTCATTTTTTACCCAGATATAGCGCTGTGTTGTGAATTGTGGGAGTTATAGGTCTGCAGTAGAAAGCTGACTGACTATACATTTTTAGATATGAACTCAGATGTTCTATAGAGTGCCAAAGAGCCACTGTAAGCACTATATTTGACAAATATGTTTCTGACGCTTGAAAAATCTAAAAGGGACAATATAAGCACCGTAAACAATACACCCTGTTCTGGCCCTAAACTCACTCATATTGGTAATGCAGAACTTTCACATATATTTTATCCATTTGCGGTTTTATATAAGGGCTAAAAATTTTAGTGTTAGTGTAGGACCTGCCAAAGATGGGGTACATTGACGTTGTGGCAGGCTTATGCAATGTATGATCAAATAATGTAACTAAACCCCCATTATTTTTGCCTAGATTAGGTGTTTTTAAAAAAACAAATAAAATCTTTCAACATTGAAGTTGCTGTTTAGTGGATAGGTGAGTGCGCTGGATCTTGTGTATTGTATTATTTGGCCCCCAGCAGCACCCCCATTTATGCATGTTAAGGTGAGTGCAGCCAACCCCCTCTTGTTTTATATATATTTGGGAGTCTAGCCAACTCCTTGGTTTTGCACCCCTCCCTGTCACAGGTGCCTCATCCCAGGGCCCTATTTAGCCTTGTACTGCAGAGAGCCCCAGATGGAATTTCTTTCCCCAAGTAGGTTAATCTCATAAGAGCAGACAAACTGCTATGTTTATAAATTGGTTAATCCAGCCTCCAAATCCTCTAGTGGCTGTCTCATTGACCCCAAGCATTGTAAATGCTTGCCTATGAGACCGGCTGAATGCGCGCGCAGCTCCTGCCGCGCATGCGCATTCAGCCGAAGAGGAGGAGAGGAGGCGGAGAGCTTCCCGCCTGGAGCTGGAATAAAGGTGAGTTTAACCCCTTTCCTCTCCCCAGAGCACGGCGGGAGGGGGTCCCTGAGGGTGGGGGCACCCTCAGGGCACTATAGTGCCAGGAAAACATGTATGTTTTCCTGGCACTATAGTGGTCCTTTAAGTTCTCTGCTACTAACCAGGCCTTAAACGTTACTTGCCTCTGCAAGCCTGGAAGACCCATGGCATCACACATTGATGGGGCATCAGACAGGGCAATACACAGTAACTGGGCATCAGACAGGGCATTACACAGTGAATGGGCAACTAGCATCCCACATAGAATTTGCAGCAATCTTGGTATGATACAGTGCTTGTTCATTAGACATGACATAACATGCCTTGACAGAAAGCATGAGATCACAACTGACTGGGCACTGTGTATGGCATTGCGTAGTGCTGTGGCAGTCCCATGCATGCGCATCATTCTCAACATATTTCTGTACCTAACAGATGTACAAGGCCAGCTGATGGTGCTTCACTTCTGATGACGAGGTGGCCCGGGCATGAGTCCATCAGATTTCGCTACGTGCGCGATGTGCTAGTGTGCCTTCGCAGCACAATACCCAGCTGAAGGCGCGTCACCAGAAGTGACGCGTGTATGGAATTCTGACAGGTAGGGAAATCTGATAGCAGGTTAGTGCCTGCTCTGCTTGGGCTGACAGGAGAGATCCTCTGATCTCCTCTGATCTCCCCTGTCTGCCCCTGGTCAGAGCGGCCCATCAGGGGTATTTTGTAAGTACGCCCCCCTCAAAGTGTGCATATTGTTCAATACTCTTCCATGGCAGCCAATGTTCAGAGCACTGCTGAAGAGCTCTCACAGAGAAAAGGTCCCTGTTTTTGTTCTGGGCAGAGCAAGCAGATTTGGGGTGCAATGTGTTTGAGGGGTACAATGTGTGTGTGAGGGGTACATTGTGTGTATGAGGGGTACAATGTGTATGTGTGTTTGTGATAGCTGTTTTAACATATGAGTGTATACCGCATAGGGTTTAAAAAGAGGAGGGAGGTTCCAATTGGTTTGGAGGTAAGTACTTTCTATTGGTTAGTATTCAACCTGTCCACGTATATCGTGGAGACTCCTCCTGTATTGACAAGGGCCTGTAGCATTCCTAGACAGGTGCTAATTCCACAGCCATACATATCATCCTACCTGTGAGCAATAGGAGTGAGAGTCCATAGTTCAGTATCACTACATGATACACGCGCTCGGTTCAGCCACAGTTCAATTATCTGCAATACATTAGTGCAGCCTGCATGTGTAGATCCGGCTGTACTTGTTGCACTCATATGTTAAAACAGATATCTTCTGTAAACAATAATAACAGGTATCAGCCTTGAACCAGCATCACTATATGCTTAAGTATTTACATCCTTATACGGCTGCAGTTGTGACTGAATCCCCCAAGTACCCTAATTTCACTCTCGGAGGTGGGAGGCTGTTATTTAAATGGAATACTAGCACCTATATATTTACCCCATTCAGCAGGTGCCATTACCAGGTTTTTATTTAAATAGTGATAGACTTGGCACAGACATGTGCCTTTCCCTATACACTTAACAGATTTGCTACAGACCTTATCCTTCATAGTTTATCGATTTATCAGGTATCAATTTTATTTTGGAATGTATGTCTGTATTCCTTTTGGATTTTTCTATTTGAGTGTTCACTATTTAGCTTGTGTACAGCACATAGGGTGTTTGCCGGTAGGCAATTTTTAATATTCTTATATTAATAAAGGATTTTTTATTTTTCATTATATATATTTTTTGCCTCTATTACAGATTATAGATTCTTCTGTATTTGAGTAAATTACCTGTATCCCAGTTTCCCTCACTTGGTACACTACTTCTCTCATTATATAGAGTTTGACCACATGCCTCATTTATGTGATTTCATTTCTCCAGGATATTTATCTATTGGAATTTTTACACATTCAGCCATTTTCAGCACAACTTGATGTTATGTTTGTGTTTGTATTTATATTTTGTGTTCTGTTTGAATTTTCCGCCCTCCCACTATGCTTCATTTTTGCTGTGAGTTCTGCCTGTTCAGCTGCACATTTAGGATTCTCTCATTTGAAGTTTGCTATTATGTCAACAATTTCTGTCAACATTTTTTGTAATCTTTATGCCCGATATATGCTACTTAACTGTTTATGAGAAATATCCCCAAATAAAACATGCACACATTTAATTATGCATCTTTTCATTGGGTTTATATCTAAAATCAACTTGCAAAAGATGTAGGTCTCTGGTCTGAAGCCTTTGCAAGCCCTCCCTTTCTAACCCAGCCCAAACTTTCTGCGGCTGTCCAATTACAGATTTCCCATTGCAACTCAATGAGAAGTTTTTGAAAGACAGGTGCTCGGTAATTACCTGCTTCTTTGGCAAAACAAAATTTACCTCTTGAGTTTAGCTTCACTGAGCTTAACAACCAGGAAGTAACAGGACAGGTTGTCTGACTGACTGACAGGGGGTGTAACAATGTTAAAAGTGTCAATTTCTATTCAAGTATTTTTTTGTAAAATTAAAATAAGACATCATTTTTACACACAAAGCATTTCAGCAGGTGCGTAACTATTTCACAGCATTTCACAAAGCCCCAGTGCAAGAATAAGAGAAGAGTCCCCCTTACGCTCTTACTGATACACATACACTGCTGTATACTCACTGACACACACATTCACTGACAAGACACAGTCATTGGCACAAACACTGTTTAATGAACACCTACTTTTACTGACCGACATACACTCTCATTGATACACATACACCCACTGTTTAACCAACAGACACACACTGACATACACTCACTCACTCACACATACATTCATTGACAAACACACACACTCTCAAATACATATACACTGACATAAACACACGCACTCACTGACACACACACACTCATTGATTCGACACTCACTGACAGACACATACTTCCACTGACATGACACACATTTACTGACAGATACACACTCTCACTAACAGACATACACCCTCTTTGACACACTCTTACAGGCACACACAGTCATTGACAAAAACACACTCACTGATATGACACACTGACAGACACACTCTCAGGCACACTTACTGATAATTTTTACACACCTATACACTTTTTTACACACACTCACAAATTATTTTTATTTATAGTGTTTTATAAATTTGCTTTAGGCCTATTCAGCCTCCCTACAATTTGTAGTCTATAGTTGCTTTATTCTTCATGCTTTTCCTCATTGCTTCCTCACAGGCCCCAGCTCACTCTAGCCCCAGAATTCAGCGTTTGATGCTTTTCCATTTCCCCCCAATTTCTGTTTTATATATAACCCTGACCTCACATAGAATGTATGCAGACTAGTATAATTATAATCAATTCAATATGACAATCATCCATTAGATGGCACTATACTACCACTTTACTGATAGCAAAATGACAACAGAAAATAGTAAATGTTTAGAGATAAACAAAATAATCATCTTTAACCCCTTAGGACGCAGCTTCAAAAACTGGACTTGCCCTTAAGGACACAAGCCATTTTTGCATCTTTTGCTGTTTGTGTTCAACCGCAATTTGCATCTCTGTCATTTATTGCACCAACACATATTATACATCGTTTTTTAGGGGGCAAAAAGGGCTTTAATTTGATGTTACATATACATAGATACATTCTATAAAAATGCCAAAAGCCAATCAGCAGCAGACCCTCCCTCCCAGACCCTCCCACCTCCTGGACAGCTCACTAAGAATGCAGCTTCACAATGAATGTAAAATGGATGCTGTCCAGGAGGTGGGAGGGTCTGGGAGGGAGGGTCTGCTGCTGATTGGCTGGAATGTGTCTGCTGATTGTGAGGTACAGGGTCATATGTTCGCCATCCGCCGTGAATCGTTCGGCGAACCGTTCGGGACATCACTAGTTAAAATGTATAAATTTGTAAAATGGTTACAAAATAATGTAAAAAAGTAAGAGACACAAATTGTGTCTACCCTTACTAAATTAACTGAAATAAATTAACTGTAACATATACTTGAATAAGGAATCTATGCGTCTTGCCAAATTAGTGAAAAGATAAAAAATAACACATTTAAACTCCGAAAAGAAACGAAAATGTAATAAAAGAATGTTGTGTAATGGGCATTCTTTGTTGTACATTCTCTCAACCGACAATTAGGAAAATGGGGTTTATTTATTAAAGTTGAAGTTGTGGAAATTGACAAGTAAATTGCAAATGTTATGATAAAATAGATAAACTGAAAAAATTACAATACTCAGCAATTTTTTTTTTTTACCGTGGCTATTTTGTTCTAAAAGTTACAAATGTCCTCACTCCCTGGATCTGTGAACAATATTCTCTAACAATACGTTCTAGAACTGCTTCCGACAAAATCCATAATAAATCGAAGTTTCTACATTGTTAAATTTTGACGGTCTGTAAGTGTGAGTAATGTATTATTTATACTAGGGATGTGCATGGGCAAAACATTTGGTTTGGATCGGCATTCCGAAATTCGGGACTTTGGATATGTTCCCTTTGCAGCCGCTTAGTAGATAACTCCCTAATTCCCACGGTATTAAGGAGCTATCTACCAAAAGGCTGAAAGACCTAAATTGGCCTTTAGTCAAATTTACTAATACTAAGTAAAGATTACTTAGTATTAGTAAATTCTGCCCCTACTCGCTATACCGGGAGTAGGGGCATGTCTAGTAAACAGTGAGCAGCTGCTCACTGTTAAAAAACCCAAAAACAAACCCAAGTGTCCCCCCTCCCGAGCCCCCACCCTTGCCCTGAGCGGCGGATGGGGGCCCTAAATTACAATAAGGGGGGCTACTGTCCACCTCCCAGGCCCCCACCCCTGAGCAACGGATGGGGGCCCTAAATACCAATAAGGGGGGGATCTATTGTCCTCCCCCTCGGCCCCCTCCCCTGAGCGGTGTGTTGGGGCCCTAAATACCAATATGGGGGGGGGGGATCTATTGTCCTGCCTCCTGGCCCCCACCCCTGAGCGGCGGGTGGGGGCCCTAAATCAGAATAAGGGGGGACCTATTGTCCTCCCCCCTGGCCCCCACCCCTGAGCGGCGGGTGGGGGACCAAACACCATTATGGGGGGGGGACCTATTGTCCTCCCCGAGTCCCCCACCCTTGAGCGGCGGGTGGGGGCCATAAATAAAAATGTTACCCCCCCAGGTATCCAGGGGTTCCCAAACCCCTAGTCATTCCCCCGCCTTAAAAATATTAACAAACCCCTACCTACCCCCCTCACCCTAAAATAGAGAGGGGGGAACAATAACTAAGTACCTGTAAAAAAAGAAGGGAAAAAAGGGAAGGGAAAGAAGAAGGGAAAGCTCTTTCCTATCTGATCCTTGTCTTCCCTCCCACAGCAGCAAGAGGGCAGAGTGGCTGTTTGTCTGCAAAGCAGGCCAGCCACTCCCCCTTCCCTCCTGCTCTCAGTGCCGGAGAAGCGTCTGGCCATGTTGAGCAGGGCTGAAACTGGAGGACGGGCAGGGACGGTGCAAGGATTTTTGGCCACACAGGCGAAGATGAATTTTGCCGCCCCTCCCACCCCACACAAATAAAATCTTTAGCTGTGTCTTGAATCCAGCCTTTTGAACAGTCATATAGAGACATACAGGTGAGTTTAGGTATACAGAGCAGGGGCAGATCCAGAACCTAATCTTGGGAGGGGGCTGTTAGTAAGTTGTAGTGGGGTGATAGGGGTCTGTAATTGAGGAGTTAGGGGCTGTAGTGGGGGTACATGGGCTGTAGTTGAGAGTTAGGGGCTGTAATTGGGAGCTTAGGAAATGTAGTGGGGGATAGGGGCTGTAGTAGGGAGGTTAGGGACTGAAGTAGGTTGATGGCTGCAAGTGGGGACAGGGGGCTGTAGTGTGAGGGATATGGGCAGCAATTGGGGAAGAGGGGCGTAGGGGGGGTAAGGACTATAGTAAGGGGCTGTAGTGGTGTTAAGGGGTGTAAAAGGGGGTTAGGGGCTGTAGTGAATTTATGGGGTGTAAAAGGGGGTTTGGGGCTTCACGTGGGGGAATAGAGGCTGTAGTGGAAGGGATCTGATGTAGGGGAGTTAGGTGCTGTAAAGAGGGTTATAGGGGCACAGGGGTAATATGGTTGAAAACAGGGGCAGTATGGTGGGGAACAGGGGCAGTTGAGAGGGACACGGGCTGTAGAGGAGGACACTGAGGCAATATAGTGGTGTAACAGGGACAGTATGGTGGGGGTAAATGGACAGTAGAGGGGGGACAGAGGCAGTAGAGGAGGCAGGGGCTATATAGTGGCACACAGGGGCATTATGGTGGGTGCACAGGGGCAGTAAAGGGGGACCGAGGCTGTAGAGAGGGGGACAGAGGCAGTATAGGGGGGAGACAGGGGTAGTAGAGGGGGGAGACAGGGGCAGTAGAGGGGGGACAGAGGTAGTATGGTGGGGCTGGGGCTGAAGAGCGAAATAGAGGGGCTGTAGAAGTAGCAGGGGCAGTATTGTGGGGAAAGGCTGTAGAGGGAAGTAGAGGGGGCACAGGGGCTGTAGAGGGGGCAGGGAGAGTAGAGGGAAATAGAGGGGATGCAGGGACAGTATAGTGGGGATAGAGGCAATAGAGGGGCTATAGAGGGAGCAGTATAGGGGAAACAGGGGCAGTAGAAGGGGCACAGGGGCAGTAGAGAGGGGCTGCTAAAACAAACAAAAAAACACAACTTTTGATTTAACCCCTTCCCGACCGAGGACGGTTCAGGACCGTCATCGGCATTTTTGGCTTGCCGACCGATGACGGTCCTGAACCGTCCTAACGGTCTGAGCTACTTACCTGATCGCCGTCGTTCCCCCGGCGGCGATCAGCGAGGCTCCGGTTGTGGGGAGACTGCCTGCAGCCCAGACAGTCTCCCCACACTGATTTAGGACCCCTGTGGCCATGTGATCGCTTAACACAGCGATCACATGGTCACAATAGGTGCCTGTGTATCTGCCTGCAGGAGGACTGCCTGTGCTGGCAGGCAGTCTCCCTGCTAGTGTAAAATCAGAAAAAATAAATAAAGTTAATGTTAATAAAAAAAATTATAATAATTATATAGGTGTATATATGATATATAGACATATATTATATCTATATAATATATGTCTATATATCATATATATAATGTCATACTAAGTGTATTTGTATATTAATATGTACTTATATTAATATAAAAATACACTTATAATTAAATTACACACGTATATATATAATATATATAATAACTATATATATTGTATATATATATTATTATAAAATATAAATAATAAGTAATTTAAATTAAATAAAAAAAATTTTAAATAATAAAAAATTTAAAAAAATTATATAGCTATATGAAATTTTATTCTAACTGTATTTTAAAATTAATATATATATATTTATATCAAAATACACTTAGAATGAATTTGTATATATATCTATGTATATAAAAATAAATAAAAATAGAAATATACATATGTCCATATACAAAATTACATAAATAATTATATAAATATACACGTAGACTTAAACTATATAAATATGCATATATATTTAAATTCTACGTGCGTATTTATGTAATATTTTTACATAATTCAGTAATTTTATTGATTGCAATTTGAGGGACCTGCCTGCCAACCCAGGCCGAAATTCCAGAGAATTTAATTTGCTAGCACTGTATTTTACCCTGTAACGTTCTACGACACCCTAAAACCTGTACATGGGGGGTACTGTTTTACTCGGGAGACTTCGCTGAACACAAATATTAGTGATTCAAAACAGTAAAACATATCACAGCGATGATATTGTCAGTGAAAGTGACTTTTTTTGCATTTTTCACACACAAACAGCACTTTTACTGATGATATAATTGTTGTGATACGTTTTCCAGTTTTTAAACACTAATATTTGTGTTCAGCGATGTCTCCCGAGTAAAACAGTACCCCCCATGTACAGGTTTTATAGCATTTTTGAAAGTTACAAGGTCAAATATATGGGTCAAATATTTTTACATTGAAAATGGCCAGGTTGGTTACGTTGCCTTTGAGAGCGTATGGTAGCCCAGGAATGAGAATTACCCCATGATGGCATACCATTTGCAAAAGAAGACAACCCAAGGTATTGCAAATGGGGTATGTCCAGTCTTTTTTAGTAACCACTTGGTCACAAACACTGGCCAAAATTAGCGTTCAATTTAGTTTTTTTACTTTTTTCACACACAAACAAATATGAATGCTTACTTTGGCCAGTGTTTTCGACTAAGTGGCTACTAAAAAAGACTGGACATACCCCATATTGAATACCCTGGGTTGTCTACTTTAAAAAAAATATGTACATGTGGGGTGTTATTCAGAGATTTATGACAGATAATAGTGTTACAATGTCACTATTGATAAATTTTAAAAATGTATGTTTTGAAACCGCAATATCCTACTTGTACCTATAGCCCTATAACATGCAAAAAAAAGCAAAAAAGCACGTAAACACTAGGTATTTTTAAACTCAGGACAAAATTTTGAATCTATTTAGCAGTATTTTTCATTCGCTTTTGTAGATGAGTAAAAGATTTTTCAAGTAAAAGTAAAAAAACATGTATTTTTTTCAATTTTTCATCATATTTTTTTTATTTTTTTTAAATTAAAATACATGAGATTATATAAATAATGGTATGTAAAGAAAACCCCTTTTGTCCTGAAAAAAACAATATATAATTTGTATGGGAACAGTAACTGAGAAAGCGGAAAATTACAGCCAAACACAAACACCACAAAAGTGTAAAAATATGCCTGGTCGCAAATGTACAACATCGCAAAAACAGTCCAGTCCTTAAGGGGTTAAAAAACAAAACATA